CTAATTAATTTTGTGAGATGTTATTGGTTTGTTTTCTTTTTCTCACCCCCTCCTGCCAGCTGACATTGCACGTTGAGAACCAGGATAGTTTTCCAGAGATGAGAGTGATGCTCATTGTTTTGGAAACTGGCCAGGATCCATGGTGGCTAACAGAGATACAGGATCATTCTAATAGCTTTTAAAGCCTTATTTTAGAGGCAGGAATCCCAAGTCTTCCTGTTTATCTTGCTTTTTGTATTTTTGTGCAACACAAGTCTCTGCCAGCTCTACCAGCTGAAACAAAGTGCAAGATGCCCTCTGAACTTGTTGAAGAAAAGGAAACTTATTTTCCCCTGCAAACAGCATGGCAAATGTATGAGACCAGTGAAAAGATGGTAGCATAAACTTGCAATAATACTTGCACTGTTGTGTTCTAACAAATATGGGTAATTATATCTGCAAAGATACAACAGTATGGGTGTCAAGGTGTGTCAACAGACAGCATAGGAGTGCTTTGGAGTTAAAGGCTGTGTCATACCTTGGGCTAACTTACATTTGTGGCAGTAAATACTTTTACACAAGCATGGTATTGTGTGCTATTGTAAATCTATCCTCACTGGACTCTTGAGCAAACACACTGTTCTGGATTTTTCTATATTTAGACATCAATAGACAGATGTTCACTTGTGAGCTAGTTGCTCTGAGTATGAGGTTAGTCTGACTCATTTTCACCAAATAGTTCAGGAGGGAATTAATGACAAGGGTACCAGGCTTCTTCTTGCAAGAAGACTGTACCTGGCTACCTTATACATAAACATCTGTATGGGTAACATCTGCATTTTACTCACATGATTCTCACCTAAACTCTCTCTTTAAAGACACTACTTTGTATAACAATGAACTTTTTGTATAAACACACTATTTATTCTTGATTTCTAACTTTATCTGAATTCTCAACATAGACAGGTCCAGACAAAGGTATCAGGAGAAACTCAGGCCAGAAGCAGTGCTCTCAGAACTTATCTTCTGTAGGATTAATTGACAATAGTGCTGTCACCCCCTTAAATGAGAAACATGTTAAATCTCCAAATCATTTGCTGAGTCTTTGAAAAAAGGATGTCATGAAAATTTGAAAAGGAATTTTCCTTTTATTTGTTCCTGCAGTAACTAGAAGCTTTTCCTTCTCTTCTACCTCTTCTGCAAAGACACAAAACCTAAGTTATTGTTCCTAGAGAGCAGAGCGTTCCATTTTAGTGTGTCTGTAATACATGCTGAATTGAAAATCTTACTGGTGTTCCTATGCTTGTGGGAAGCATACTCCATACACATTTCATTACTGTGGATCTGTACCTGCAGCTTACTGGGGTTCTCTGCAGACACTTGCAATTAAAGATCAGACATCAGGGACCCAGATTTCACAAATAAAGGGAGACTGCCTGGGCTGTACAGGGCTCTTCATGAGAGTAAACTTTCAAGTTTTCCTTCACTTTCATCCTCCAAGATGGAAGTGGCTAAGGCAGGTAGAATGCTCAAATGAAGATCTCATGGGGGTAGTAGGACACCACCTAAGTGGGTTAAGTGCAATGTGCAATTCAATAGGGATGCAGTTCCAATGGTGTGGCCCAAGAGTCTCGGTGCATAGAATATCATGCCTTCTGAAATGCTAAAATAGAAAAATTGCTTGTGTGTAAGCTACCCTGATCACAGATTTCATGTTGCTCCCAATTTCTTCAACTTTTGGCTTTGAAATTTAACAAAGAGGCTTTATGATATATTTGTTTCCGGCTCAATGTATATGTGTGGCAAACCATGTAAGTATGATCCACCCTTCACACCACAAATATCTAAGTGTTTTATAAGTCACAGGATTCTGCAGTGGAATTTGAAAACTTTATAATTGGTGTATTTGGGGAAACACGTAGACCTGGGAAATACTGTCTCTTGGCAGCTAAGACTAGAAGGGAATTATTTACAGAATTTTCTCATTTAATGATTATTAACTTTGCTTAGTCCACTGTGCTACTCCCATTTTTCTCAAGCTATTTTTCAAAACTGTTCTCCAGACAAAAAGTTGTACAAAATTTGTACAAAAACAATTTACAGATAAATGGGAAAGGTCATTTGTGTTTGAGAGCTTTCCTGTATGGATGCTAGCTTTGGAACAGGCTGCAGAGAGCTGCAGAAACTGCAGTTCCATGGCCTCTCAGTCCTGCCTGAGAAGCTAGCCTGTTCTGTACTTTCCACGTATCTGTCTATAAGACAGGCCTGAAGCAATAAACCAGAGAATTCTCGTGTTGAAACTCCCTTGAGAGTTTGTGTCGTTCTTTATCGCCGTTCCCAATCGGAACGACATTCCTGTTGTCACATTATCTATAACAACTTTCAGTTCAAGACTCTGATCTGCTTTTATTTCATTTCTAGAATAAAGCATGCATCTTTCCCTGGTGAACTTTCACATGTCCATTATTCCTTCTGTGCAGCGTGAAGATGGGTTCCTGAATGGGCAGTGAAGAGCTGAAAAACTGTGGTGTGGGAATGACAGAAGGCAGGCAATGTCAGAGATCTTGTTGGTATCCTCTGCTTTCAGGAGGGGAAAACTTTGCCAAGTCATGTGAATTACTACATCAAAAATGCTGGGTGTTGTAGTTATCTCTCTTGTTAATTTGGGAGATAAGTGCCTTTGCAGGCAAAGGGAATGAATGAAAGAACTCAGAAATACACAGTGGCCGAAATATTACATATCCACATAATTTCTTTGGAGATCTGTGAGAAAAACATAGAGGAAGGAGGCTATTTAAGATGTCTAAAGCCCACTTGTTTTGCCACTCATTGAATCTTGTGACTGTGTAAGAAAGTGAACCTTAGCCTCTTTCTAAAGCGATTAAATGTTAAAACCCTGGGCTGAGGCTGCCTATTAGATTAGATTTGCATAGTAATAATGTGATGGTTTTGGGTGCAGGATAAAGTGTCTGGTTTTGAGTGCAGGATCAGAAGTATGGCTAATTTGACATCACCTAGGAGACCTGTTCCACTGAAGCAGAGAGGATATGCATTAGCATGAAGCTGTAGGGTGAATCAGCATTAGAGATATGCCTAAAACTCCTTCCTGTTCCAGATCTCACTTTGAACAGCTTCCCATATTTTCATTTTCATATATTTTCATTTTTCTTCCTACCTGAAGAAAGTGATGAGGGGAGGAAGGCAGCTGAAGATTGCTAAGAGGTAATTGCATGAAACCCTGTTATCAGTCTGGGATTCCATTCTAGGCAAAGGCACATCTCAATTTTATTTCTAACCTTCCCTGCAGATACTTTGAGTTCTACCTGAAAACCACCTGAGAGAGTTTCTTGCTCTCAATCTAAATAATGTGTGCATCCACCAAGAGAAGAGTAGTTGGAGGAAGACATTCCAGTGCTGCCCACATTATTACGAAAAATGTCACCACATACCACCTAACACATTCCTTGAATTACAAAAGCTAAATGTACACACCATCTATTACGAATGAACTGTTTCCTGTGTAAATGCTAGAAAATTCAAGAGAGATTAGCCTGAGTAATGGAGTTAAAATCAAGCTAATTTGTTTGCAAGGTTTTTGGCAAGTCAAAAATCTCCTTCACAGTTTTGTTAGGCAGAGGAGTGGAGAAAGTGTGTGTGTGTTAGGCTCAGAGGAAATCAATGTAAATTTGTTTTTATGAAGCTGGTTCTGCTGAGCAAAATGAGTTATATTCCCAGCTCTGTGTGGCTGAATCTGAGTCTAGGGCAGCCAAAGGTTTGACAACAAAATGGTTTGGATCTGTGGAAATAGAAGATGAGAAAGAGTAAAGAGGGCTGCACACCGTTCTGGAGCTGAATGAGGATACACTAAATATAGAGGAAAAAGCAGAACCTACTTGTGCTTTTTTACCGTGTCTGACGTGTGCCTGGCAACCTAGGAAAGTATGATCAGAACTGTGAGACAACAATCCTCATTTTGGAGTTTTCTTGCTTAAAGCAAAATGTTAATGTCTCTAGAGCTGCTTTTCTTCAGCTACCCATTCTGTTCTTTTTTACATTTCCCTTCCTTTCAGACACTATTGCCCCTTCCTGTTTATAGCAACTCTTTAAAACATCTATTTTTTCATTCTCTTTCCACCCACTACATGCTTCCCATGACCAGTCAGTCCCACCCATCCCCATCTTTTCTCTCTGCTATCCTAGCTATCTTGTTCCTGTCTCTTTCCTTCATGGTAGCTGAGATTGGAGAGCAAAATCATTGAATCCTCCATCCCGTAGAACCTCCTTGTAGCTTTTCTGTTGACTTCAGTAATTGTGAGTGGAAATAATTTGATGAGATGTGAGACACAGCACAAGAGAATCTGTGGTTTTTCATCCTTCTTTCCTGCTAAAATGTCTTATATAATTTCAGCTTCACACATAGCTAATAGGATTTTCCAATTTAAATTTTGAATTCACTTGGAAAAGACAATGAAAATTCTGAAACAACATACAGCCTTTTATTTCAAGTGAAAAATATATTATTAGATATGGTTTTCACTGATAAAAAGCTGAAAAGTAAATGTATGTAATGGAGAGTTAGACAACTGGGAGAGGACTCTTCTGAGCAGTAGAAGGTATCTCTGGTAGATCTCCATTTGAGATCTTTGTAGACTCATACCATAGGCAGTGGAGAGAGACAGTAATTTTAAGATCATTATTGATCTTAAAGTAGATATTTAAAACAGGTCAGATGAGTCACACCTTAAATGTACCTGTTTCTTTCAATTGACTATAAAGGAAACCTGATGTAACTGGCTCTGAGGTTGACACCTACAGTGTGCATGTCTAAAGTTACACAAAATTAATCCCACCCTAAGTGTCATCTTAAACACTCACCATAACATGCAATTTCTTTTCCTTTTTTTTTCAATAAAATTTCAAAGCAGAACAACATTATGAGGAAAAATGAAAAAAAAATTCAGCTTGAAACTTCCAACAAAAAGATTGTGTTGAAATTTTATAATTGTTTCAAATTTCTGTGTTGAATTTCATAAAGTTCTGTCTTGACAAAACTACATTTTATGAAGAAAGCCTTTTAAATGAAGAATGTGACCTGATTGTCTCTGTCACAAAGTAGAGTGTTCCACCCTTCTTGTTCCCGAGCATTTGTGGTAATACAGCTTCATTGGGTCCAATTTGTGTCAGAAGGGGCAGCAATTTCATGACCAAGTCACAAGGACCTGTGCTAAGGACTGCCAATCAATTTCTCATGTATTTGATTCTGTTGTCAGGTGCAATAACTTCTGGTCACTATTGAACTGGACTTCGTTTGCACCAGTGGCCTAGAAGACAAAATAAAATTTATTACCAGTTTTTTAACCCATTCAGTTCAGCAAAATAGTCTTGTATCAAAATATATCATTTATTTCCTTATACCTACCTGGCAGGAGGCTAACTATATAAAAACCCACCTTCAAGAGCAGTAGGATGTAGTAATATAGAGCAATTTAAGCATAATGGAGCTCAGAGCTTTCCAATACTGGGAGACGACAGGTTTTGGAATGTAAGATATAAAGTGAGGAACAATTCAGTCTTATCCCCAGCCAGCAGGCACTGTCTGTAAACATCCTATCTATTCATGTTTGCTGGCTCAAGGGGGATTTTCAGAGCACTTTGAAACCTGCATTAAAACTGTCTTAGACTTTGAAGAGGACTAAGGTAATTTTTTTCTGCCTGCTGTGACTTTCTTTTCCGTGTCATAAAATTGCACGACTGATAGAAGGGTAATTTCTGAATTTCAACCTACATCCTTCATCTTGGCCTGTAGTAAACCTGAAAAGTGTATCCTGGTGTGGGGACCAACTGTTGCTCTATTCATTAGCCTATGTGCTCCTTTTACATTTGTCCATTAACACCTTCACCATTTGTCTTTCCCAGGTCAGACTGAATGAGCTGAAAGAAATCAATGTCTCTATGTAAGTGCTGAATATTTTTTTTCCCAGTAAAGTACCTCTCTAAAAAGTGGTTGTGTTGAACAGGAAAGTTGAGATTTTTCATCACTAAGGTCAATAAAAATTTCACTTTCTGTCATTCGCTTTCTGTCACTTCACATAGTACCAGCCCAGGTGGTTTTTCATTCATCTTTCATATGATTTTTCTCCTCCATTTGTCCCTGACAAAATTTCAGCATGCAGTCCTTTATGACCAAACGGTCATTCCAAACCATGTGTTGTTCTAGTAAATTCTGTTTTGTTAGAAGGGTTCAGTCTCTTCAGGGAGCAACTGAAATAAGCATCTTAAACTCTCTCCCTGCTCAGAAACAACAACAATACATCCAGCTCCTGTGGAACACCTAAATGCTGAAATATGGCAAAAAGTGCAACACAGTCACCAGGCTGTTTAGTTCTGAGAGAAAATTCAACGGGAAGTTTTGTACAAGGTACTTATGGCTGCCTGACAACTATATTTTAATTTCAGAGACTTTTGTGTCACTTCATACTTTCTATAAATTTCTGTTCCTCCAGAAAAGCTGACACCAACAAATCAGGATTTTCTTTGAAGGCTATTATTTTATCTGCATAGTGAAAAGAAAATCTCGATATTTCTTCATGCCTCTTGGATGCCCTATTGCAGTTCACTCTGTTTTTCAACGCCCTAAGTTCAGAAATGTTTCCAAAACTGAAAACACATACTTGAGGAGTCAAATGTACTCATGTGTAGGAGACGCTTTCTGGGGACGGTCAGAGACACGGCAAAGACCTCTATAATCGAGTTAAGTGTTAGAAGTTTATTTCAGGGCGTGGGGTAGAGAGGTAGAGAGAGAGAGCAAGAGAGGGCAAGAGAGAGAGCGCAAGAGAGACGGAAAAAAAGAGCAAGCAAGAGAAAAAAAAAGAGCAAGCAAGAGAGAAAAGAGAGCAAGCAAGAGAGAAAAGAGAGACGGAAAAAAGAGCAAGCAAGAGAAAAAAAAAAGAGACCGAGCTCTTCTATACCACTACTTATATAACCTATACCTTTGAATATTCTATTCCTTAACTAACCAATCTTTCTAAGTATACTAATATAGTAACATTTGTGTACAACCTATAGAAATCGCTATTTTTGCATATTTTTAGTTATCTCAGGGTCCTTCAGACCTTTCCTTATAAGGCTGGGATGAGGGGTCTCAGCTTGGTTTTATTGCAGGAAAGAATGTGTTCTGGCATACCAGCCCGGTTGGTTTCTTTGAATTATTCAAACCGTGCTATCATTTGTATTTCTTCCTTAGCCTTTCTGGCTACAAAATCATATTTATAATTTCTTTCTAATTCTACCTTCCCAACACTCATGTTCTCTTCTCTTGGACATTTGAGATGCAGCTAAAGATGGCCACACTTGTACAGTGTGAAAGGCTTCAGAGCCAGTGGCCAAGATTTTTCTGTGAGGAGGCATCTCATTATCCTCACTGACACTCAGAAGATGAGCAGTATACTTAACAAAGTATAGAAATGTGAACAGCTTTTAGACTCTTTGAAAAACAGGTTCACTACCCCATGCCATTGTCTCATAACTGTAAAAGGGCTCACAAAGCATAAAAATGTATTTTAAGTCCATCACACAGAAGTACAGTAGCCAGATCTGATCAGCTACCTGTTAATCTCTATGAGAAATAGCTTGATCACGGGTCCTAAGTGACTGGGAATGGCTCTAGGAATGGATTTAAGGGAGCTTTGCATAGTATCAGCATTTTCAACAGCACCTCAACTACCATATCTAAAAATCTTAGGAACATATTCTCCAAAAATAGCAGGAGTTTCTAGCAAATACAGCCTTTGCATGAAAACATCACATTTCTGTTTCTCTTTCCAGAGGTGCTGAAGATTGCAGACATTTTTAAAGCTCGCTTCCTTGCTCATTTCCTGTTGTCAAAATTTTTCAACCCTTGAGCTCTGCTAGGGGAGTTGATCTTCAGAGATGAAGATAATATTGCAGAAATTCCACTGATCTTGCTCATAGTCACACTGGATTTTTCCATTTTTTTTCCTATGAAAGGTTAGTTGTTCTACTTTTATTTATTTCCTTAGTTTATTTATTTAATTCTGGTTCTGAGCTGTTACTGAAATTAGACTCATTATAACAAGATAAAGTGTAGACTGTTTGCTGATTGTGTCAGATCAAGCTTTATATTTTATGTGTGCTGAAAGGGCACTGCCCATACAAGTATGTATCATTCTTTGGCTGAGCTCCTGCTAAGTATTACAAATCTCAGAAAAGTGGTCATTACTTTGTCTTAGCTGCAAAATTATTTTTATTGTATTACAGTTAAGGTATTCTTTTATTTACAGTTGTTTTTTTAGAATTTTTTCATGTTCTTTCTCCTCCCTTTTCTCCTACTTTTGTGGAAACATAATAATGCCATTTGATCCCCACAATGCTTTGTAACTGAATTTTCAACCAAGGTTCACCGTCTGCTTAACACCATACAATCTGTGAAAATGGAGATTTATACTTGCCCAACCATGATTTATGATTTTTGCCATTGTCTGGGTTAATACATCATTCATTAACTTATGTACACTTGTTTCTGGTGTGTCGGTAATTTGCACCTTTTCATTATTTAATGTGAATTTGTAGCCCATACATAGAGTGGTGGTACATTTCTTGTAAAGATTTTTTTGAATCACATATTACATGATTGACTATATTGCTGTATTGTTTATACTTCATTATTGGCTGTTCCTTTGGATTTAAATAAAAATTGCCAGCTCCAAGTTGATTAGTCTTCCAATAAGAAATACTAACTTAAGTCTTGTTCATTTTGTTTCATGTGTTCATTACAAAAATATAAGGAGCATGTGGGATTAAAAAACTGCTACTTTGTGTGGTTATGACCAATGCAAGCCAATATGTTATAATGGGAAAAAGAAAAGAAAAGAAAACAAAACAACCCTCAACAACCATTAGGAAGCAGTTTATGGGAATTTTCTAAAAACCCTTCCCACATCCCAGATTTTCCATGGAGCAGATAATTGCTTACAGTATGGGAGAAATACATTATTGAAAATAGATACATAAAGATCCTTTTGTCTGTATGTGTCTGGTGAAATTACCTTGTACATAAAAGATAAGCCCAGAGCTGTTTCTCATGCACTGAACTTTAAGTGATGGAAAAGTCGGTACATACAGCAATTGGTCTAGACCTCTGACAGCAATCGCGACAATCCTCGGACCAGCTGAGGTAGCAAAAATGAAATAAATGAATAGGGACAGTGTTGGGGGTTGGGTGTCCTTCTGTTTGTTCCATCTCACCTATGGAATTTTTTGCCCATTAGTTGCAGGGAAACCTGATTGCTGGTATTTGGGTGCTTGAGGAACACAGGGAGTTTGGCTGGGGCCAGGGGGGAAGGGGAGCAGGGGAGGGTGGGGGCAGCTGGGGGCTGGCTGGTTTCTTGGGCTTCAGAGCAGAAGGGAATTCACCATAACCCAGACAAAGCTGCTGCTTCTTTTTCTCCTTCTTCCCTCTTTGTTGGTGGCCTCACGCCCCCTGTCCTGCTGGGACGTGTGGCAGTGCCAGCCACCCCTGCGGAGCTGCTGATACACCTCAGCCACCGGCCCAGGATCTCAGCTCATCCCTGCTGTTCCAGCTGACTGTTCTTCAGAGCCCTGCAGGAGCACCGGGACTGCCTGCCCGAGGGGGTTTGTGAAGCAAAATCTCTCCTCCATCCCTTCCCGTCTCAGCTGAGAAAGCTGTCACGGGGTCCCTGGTTCTGTTCTGTTGTTAACGCTGTAGTTATTGTTGTTTGTGTGCCTTGTTATAAATACTAGTAAAGAGCTGTTATTCCTATCCCCGGATCAGATCTCTGCCTGAGAGCCCCTTGATTTCAAAATTATAATAATTTGGAGGGAGGAGGTCTACATTTTCATTCCAAGGGAGGCTCCTGCCCTCCCTGCCAGACACCTGTCTTCCAAACCAAGACAAACAGGTTCGATTGAGAAAGCTGGGAAAACAACTTTAATAAGAGAGCAAACAAAAGAACATAATCCAAACAGCAGTATAGGGCAATGTCAAAAGACCACAAAACAGGGAAAACATAACAATATATAGAACACTGGTAACAGTGTTAAGTAACTGATAATCATCAACAGGAACTCAGAACATAACCTTATATGTAAGACGATAATAACCAATCACCAACAAGAACCAAGAACATTATCTTACATGTCTTAATGCATTAACATAACATTACATAATCCTTCCCATCATCCCATACTCATTACCATGACCTCAGATGTTTCTCATGGCCTTAGATTAATGGCCACTTCCCAATCAGCCAAGGCCAACTCATTGTCAGTCCTGTCAATCAAA